GGGAGATCTTCAAAGTCCTGCAGGACTTCCTGGAAAGCTCTTCACTCGGCGATCTGACGGCGAGGTTGGACGTGGTCCGGACAGTGATGATGGGAGAGAAGAGGAAGATGAGGAGGAGGAGGGAGGAGGAGGAGGAGGCAACCAGGAGTAACAAGCATCGCACCCTCCTCCTCAACCTCCTCGCCAACTGCCTGCTATATTACTCGCAATTCCAACCAGCGGCTGCCGCTGAGCTGAACGCAAAGGTACGAGGAAAGAGGCGGAGGCGGAGGGGAGGGGGGGAGAAGAGGAGAGACGTAGGGATGGACGAGCGAGAGCGAAAGATAGAGAGATAGACAGAGACAGGCAGGCAGGCAGGCAGGCAGGCAGGCAGGCAGGCAGGCAGGCAGGCAGGCAGGCAGGCAGGCAGGCAGGCAGGCAGGCAGGCAGGCAGGCAGGCAGGCAGGCAGAGGAGGCGAGGGGGAGAAGGTAGAGGGAGAAGGAGGAGGAGTTGACGTTGGGGAGCAGGTGAAGCCAGTGGAGAAGGAGGCGAAGGACCTTGTCAAGATCTGCCGGTGGGAGAACAAAGACTTCGAGGCTCTGAAGATGAACTTGGAACGATCTCATCGGCAACTTCACAAACTTCTCACCAAGTTCGACGCTGCTCTCAAGACTCCCTTCAGGACGATGCTCAAGCAGGTGCTGAAATGAGGATGCGGATAGAGGAACAGTTGCTCTCCCTCCCCTCCCCTCCCCTCCCCTCCTCTCCTCCCCTCTCATCTCATCTCATCTCATCTCCCCTCCTCTCCTCCCCATCTGACTCTTGCTCCTCAGCTGCGAGAGAACGCTGTCGCAAAGTTCTGGACGAGCGAGAAGAGCGGGCAAGCGCAACAGGCGTCGAAGGAGGGAGAGAAGAAGAAGGGGAGGAGAAGAAGGAGGAAAGTGAAGAAACAGAGCAAGCCGGACAAGTCAACCGACGTCATCGAGCTGAGAAGTGTTTCCCAGCTTGTCAAGGACGTCTCGTCACGTCTGGAGTCTCAAGTTCAAGCTCTGTCCGGCAAGGTACTGGTGAAGCAGCTGAAGCAGCTGCCGGGATGGATGAAGAAGCAGGACGTGAACTTGGAGGTTGTTGTGGACCTCCCGCTCGTCTCAACCCTCCTCTCCTCCATCTCCAGCAGCTCCCTCGCCTCCTCCTCCTCCTCCTCCTTCTCCGCCTTCCATGGCGTGGAGATCGACGAGATAGCAGGGGAGATCGTGGAGGAGGCGGGGGAGATGAGGAGAGGAGAAGCGCCGCTGGCTGTGAAGAAGCGAGCTCTGTTCTCCCTCCTCCTCTTCCTCTCCGACCTTGGCCTCAGCTCGTTTGCTTCAGCCGTGCCCGCTGACCGCCGCTTGCTTGAGACTTTACTGCAAGGGAGCTCGATGGAGGAGCTGATACCTGTGAGCTACC